TTCCACCCTAGCCATACCCACGGAGAAGCCTCACGCACGCCAGTTGCTCCCTATTCTCAGTCTTCTGGCTTGACCCACCTCCTGCCTTTGGACCCTCAGATCCCTGCTCTCCCTGCCCCAATACTGGGGCCTCAAGCCAAAGTGCCCCAGGCAAGCTAACGCCCCTCCCTCCTCAGCTCACCCCTCGCCCGCCCACATCTCCCCTCACTTCACGCCCAAGCCCCTAAGGCCCCGCCCCCGTAGCTGAGGCCCCGCCCCCACTTCGTCGAAGCCCCGCCCCTCACTCACCTGAGGCGTCTCCGCGCGCGCGCGCGCAGGCTGTTTAGGGTGGGGAAGAGGGGGGCGGGGGTCCCCCACTCTGGCCCGGGTGGCCCAGTGCGGGGGCAGTGGGGTCACTGAGGCGGCGACAGCCAGGCCGGAGCCAGGACTTGTGCACTTAGCGGCGGCGGCGGCGGCTTCATCTCCATCAGCGGCTTCACCTGAGGAGGGACCGGCCCCCCCACAACTCCCCCCTCATTAGAGCCGTTCCCCCCTCCCGAACAACTTCCGGTCCCACTGCCAGGCGACAGGCAGCTGGGCCGAACGCCGAGCGCCCCCAAGCCGGGGAGACTGCTGGGGAGAAAAAAGGAGAAGGGCTAGGGGAGAGTAGCCGAGCGCCGAAAGATTCAAGTCCGAAATGGCTCTGTCGCTCCTAGAGGGTAACTCGAAAAGACTACCCCTTCGTCTGCATCTAATTTGCAAACTAGGTCTACTTTGGGTGCCACACACGTTCTGACACGTCTGACCCTAGTACCGAGGTTTTTTAAAAAATTTCTAGTTGTCATTGGGTCTTTATATGAGGTGCTGAGAATCGAACCCTGTGCTTCTCAGCCCCGCTAGTGCCGAGTTTTGCCCCTGCCCTTCCTAAGACTATTGATGTCAACCTCTTAATATTCTTTGCCTTTCCTGCCAAGCGCATACAGTTAGCGGGATAGCGGTTTGAGGGTACCAAATGTTTTTGAAATAATCTCTTCTCTTAGGGGGTACCCCCGGGGTCAATCACGTAGGCAACACAGCAGATGACGACGGACCTCAAAATAACAAAAAAACCCTGAAGCCCCACTCCTTGACTTCCCAGAGATTGCTTTCCTCCACTTCCCACCTCCTACCAACACCACCATTTGTTGGCTTTGGTATAATCTCACCTGTGCCAATACTTCCCTCTTGCAACATGACAATTCCCCAGGCCCCAGAGGCCCCAGACTCACAATCTTAAATAGACACTTTATTGATGTATTTAGATAAATGGAGAGGGATTATGCCTTTCAATGCCCCCACAAGCCCATTACAACCCAGAGAAGCAGTAGAAAGTAATATATATGTTTTTCTTATACACACCATACACATTCTCTGAAGAGTCCAAGAAAAACAAAATACAGCCTGGACAGCAACAAGCATTTAGAAGTGGAGGTGGCATAGGATGAGAAAATGGTGCTTGGCTCCAGAATTATTTTTCTTGCCTCTAGACCCTTTCTCCAACAGCTCTTATCTTCTGGCACGGGGTTAGAGGCCAGGAGGGGTATGTAACACTGTCAAAGGAGAGAGGATGCCTGGGTGGGAATGTGCAATGCATGTATACCTGGATATGACTTAGGAAGGCACAGTACAAGTTTTTGATCCAAGAAGTGAAGAGGAAAAGGTTTTTCTGTGGCAGAAGACCAAAGGATGGGTGGGGAAAGGGGTCAAGGTGTTTTCTATAGGATAGTTGACTCCATTCCATGCTCTCATGATGTGACATGGACATGGACACGGTGCCAGGCATTGCTGAGTACACCTCGAAGGTTCCAGATTGGGGCTACTGTGTCTGGCTGCACATTGTAACTGTCATCCACAGCCTTACAAACAATGTTCAATTCTTTTTGTCCAGCTGGCACAGAGGCTTGCAGCTGCCATAGACGCCAGGCCCAGGCCTTCCTGGGTGGCTGCTTTTCTGCATCAAGGTCAGCTGCATGCCAGGTTAGCCCCCCATCCAGGGACACATCCACCCGGATCACAGCCCTGCCACCACCACTCCATGCATAGCCCTTGACAATTACCTCCCCTGACTCTATAGTCTCTCCATCCCGAGGCTCTGTGATGGCTGACTGGATAGGGAGTTCTTGAATAGATGGAGCTGAGTCAAAATCTACAGTATCCCAGTCCACAGATGGAGAGAAGCCTTTATAATCCCGCCGTTGCCAGTGGCTGTAACTTTCCTCTGGCTCTACACTCACTCTGCCCAGCCATTTGACGTGGCGGGCACCTACCACACCAGGAACCACCACCCGCACAGGAAAGCCATGGTCACGAGGTAAAGGCTGCCCATTCATCTCATATGCCAGCAAGACCTCAGCTTCAGGATCCATGGCCCGAGCCAAAGGGATAGAGGCTCCATAGGCAGTCCCAGTGGGGTCTGAATCCAGTCCCTCAAAGCAGACATGGGCCTCTTTTTCAGAAAGTTGGTGACCAGCCTGGGCTAATACATCACAGAGCCGTGCCCCAGCCCATCGTGCAGTGCTGATGGCCCCTGTTCTCCACTCTAGACCTCTTACTTCTTTGACTTGAGTCATTTCAGAGCGCCGGTTGCCAGCACACTGCAAAGTGACTGTGACCTCATGTTTGGGAAACATGTACAAGTCACACAAGGATAGAGACAGTGACTGACCTCCAGGTGGCCCTACTATATGCAAACGATAGGTGTCTGGATCCAGATTAGGTACAGGCAGATGATTCCGGGTGAAGAAGATAGGGTTAGGTGTGATGTAGTTTTCTGTCAGCAGCTCAGGAGGAGGCTCCGCATTAAAGGGACGTTGGCTGTTGACCTTTAGGGCTGGATGTCGCATAGGATCATGAGCATAAGGGTCAGATGTTTCCAAGGTGGGTGGTGCACTGTCTTCAGGTTTCAGCTCCCCAATCTTGTACTGAGCCAGTAACTCATACACATGGGGCTGGTTGTGAATAGCATAGAGGGCCCAGAAGGGTTCTAGGGGACCCCCAGCTGCTAGCATCAACTTAGACGGTCCCCCTGGATGTAGTTCTACAAATTCTGTGACATCAAAGACCTCAGAGCCCAGAGTTACCCAGATCCCAGTTTCAGGGCTTCTGTGGGAATACACTTCCTCCTTAGTGTACAAGGGTGGTGACTCCTGAGAAGCCTGCAGGAAGGGAAGGAATGAAGCAAAAAGAGAGCAGAATATTAAGAAATAACTCTAGTTCACTCCAAACCAACCCACAGTAGTAGCCTTTGGGAAATGAAAGTGGAAGATGCCATCTATACTGTGCATGAAGACAATGCCAGCATGGGCTCTGTGGTAATAACAAGAACATGAGTCACAGCCTAGGTTACCTGAGGACCCCTTTATTTTAATAATGAAGTCCCTTCTGCACTTACCCTACACCGATGATCATGATAGGCCAATGCTGTGCCAAAGCCTAGCAGGGCCCCCATGATTCTCCATCCCCTAGTGCTGGAATTATCACCAGAGAAGTTCAGGCTGGGGCGCTGGGGCTGAAACGATTCATTTGTAGAGCAGGCCTGGATGCAGAGCCTTGAGGGAGGTGGCCTGAATCTGGAAGAGAGAGATCTTAGAAAGCACATATGGTCATGTGAAAGTGCCAGTGAATGTTTGAGTTCTGTCTCTCCCTGGTTGGTCATTACTGTTGGAAGTTAGTTTCTCTAGGAATGGGTGGGACAAGTGGAATGTGGCTTTCCTTTTCCTCCTTGGCTACTACTCAACTATCTTTATCTGCCAGATAAGATAATCACTTGACAGATAAGATAGTTATCTAGGAGATATAGTAAGGGGGCAAGTCCTGGGATGGGATGGCCTACCTGCAGGCCTGTCGAAGTGCTGAGACCACAGCTCTGTGCAGCAGTAGCATTGTGGTAGAACTGCAGGAGGAAGATTCCAGGATTAAACCATGAAGTCCCTTAAGAGGGGATATTAGGGAGGCCTGAGGAAATAGGTGGGAGGATGAAACAGAGAAAATCAGCAAGGAACTCTCTGGGAAAATAGAGCACTTTAGAGATAAAGATTGTGCTAAGAGGACGGAAGGAAATGGGGGGACAGGTGCTTTTAAAATCACTTATTTTCCATCCTCCAGTGTCTACTTTGTCCACTATAGAGAGCAATACCTGAAGCCAAAGGCCTAAAGGGCAAAAAACAAATGCCTACTGTCCAATTTGCAGTTTGTTTATTTATTTATTCTGGATTGCTGCGGCTCAAACCAAGGGCCTTGCCAATGGTAGGCAAGCACCCTATCAATGAGCTACAGTTCCAGTTTTCTGGAGATTATTTCTGAAGTCAACAGAGGATAACTGAGGGTAAGACTGATACAAACAGGGACAAAAGGTGAAAAAAGTAATGGCAGCCTAATAAATGAATAAACCCAAATTCTAGAGACAAACTACTTTGGGTTTGTAAAGCAGCCCTGTCATTAACCAGTTCCCTGGGCAAGGTACCAAGCCTCTCTGAACTTCTGTCCTCATCTCTGAAATGAGATCTACCTAGAGAACTGATATAAAGAGTGATCAAGCAATAACATTGTCTCTGAAGGTCTTTCTCCTTCTCTCCCTCTACCTCATGCTCTCCAAATTGACCCCAGCTGGGAATTGGATCCTAATTCCATGTCCCCACCCTAACCTTCTCTATGCCATTCTAGTGAGCTCAGCAAGTTGATGAGTCAATGGCCAGGGTGTCAAGGGATGGGCTGGAGAAAGAAGTTAATTTTTCTCCTCTGTCCTGCAATACATCTTCTTCACAATCCAGTGCCTCTGAGCAGAATATAGACCCAGGAGAGTCTAAGTGGGGGGATAAGAACTGTCCCAATTGCTAATGAAATGATGGAACCCAACCAGTGAGAGATTGGTATGGGTGGGGAGACAAAGAAACCTCCCGAGAAATGGGAATAGGAACAGAGACTATACTTTACCCTTGGGTCATGAGACCCTTGCTCACTCTGCCACCTATCCTTAATTCCAGCAGCCTTCTTGGACCAGACTGGAGTTCCAGGTTTGGGAGGGTGGCTTTCTGCTGCACTACAGAAATGCTACACCTTGGTGATGGACCTTTATTCCCCAGGAGCACTTTAGGTAGAGGATACGTCTAACATTCGGGGGAGAGCAGAAGCCCCTAACTAGCAGCTGGCACAAAAAGTCTGGTGTCAATACTCTGCCACCCCAAGAGCATCCGGGCATTGGGAGTGGAGGCAGTGGTACCTTTGTTATCCCTAAGGTTCAAAGACTCCTTGAGACAAAGCTCCAGCTGCCGCCGACCCCTCTCTGCCCCCTCTGCGGCCCTCCCTCCTTTCCCTCTCCGCCGCAGCCTGCTTACCCTGCTCAGTGTCCACACCTCGGCAGTTTTACCAGCCCAGCGCCTGGAGAGTGCTCGCGCAGGGGCGGGGCCGGCACGGTGTGACGTGCACAGAAGCTTATACAGACTCCCTCACGCCCCTCAGCTGGTACCCCAGTCATTGGCCGGTCGCAGGCCGCCTCCCAGCCGCCAGGTCCGCTTGCTGGACGCCGGCCAAGGGAGGCGGCGCGCCACGAGGGCTCGGGACTGAGCTGGCGATGTTGTTTCCACTTCTGCTGCACAGCCGTTGACTTGAGTAGATTACAGCCCCGGTGGGCAAGGAAGGGACCCTCACCGATGTCCGGAACCCAGTGGAAGGGGATGAGGGATCCAAAGATTGAGCTGAAAGATGGGAAGACTGAGACGCCCCGCTTCTCCAGCTGGAAGGTCTGGGCAGAGACCGAAGTTCCCCTGGAGGCCTCCGGATCCTGCTAGTCTCCCGGCGCTGAGTTCCGTCTCTACTAATTTTGACAAGCGTTCGTATTGCAACTACGACAGCCCTGTTTGTCTTTTAGGGAAAACAAGGTCAGTCGCTTAATTCTCTTATATCCAAGAATGACAGCAGAAATGAAGCCTAAAATAGTGGTTCCAAGACGTTGAGATTCCTTGGACTAATTGAATTTTCTAGTTAAATGTATGGAGCCAACAAGGAATAGCCATCTTTTAAATTTTGCGTAGTTTTAAAAAATCATCACCCCTTAACGAGACAATGGCCCCAAAGTACGAATATTATAGTCTCTTACTTCAGTGTGAAGGACACTAGTAGAATAAATTTGTTATACCCTTTTAACATTTGCGCGGGATTGAAATTTTGTCAAACCTAGTTCCTGAGCCTTGAACAAACGTATCCAACACTGCCCTCTAGAGATCAGAGGGTTGAGCTATAATCTTAACCAGTTTTAAGTGAAGGTTTGATTAAATTTGGAAGATCATTTCCCTTTCTGCTCTCCACTAGAGTTTTTTACCAGGAATCATGGACTCTGGTTTGTGGTTGGAGGCTGTATTAACAAACAGAAAGGGAAAATGACAGTGAAGACACTCTTATAAAGATTTTGGAAATGGAAAGATTTCCAACCTGTGTATAATTAAATCATTGGAGAGACCTGAAGTCAGACCTATTCTAATAGTTGTTTAACGGAAGGAAAAAAAAAAAAAAGGGCGTGGGCCAGCGTTGAAGCTCAGTGGTAGAGCACTAATTGAGCATGTGTGAGGCACTGAGTTGGATCCTCAGCAGCACATAAAAATAAATAAATAAAGGTCTTATTATCCACCTACAACTATAAAAATATATTTTAAAAATATTTAGTTTTTAGAAGTAGCTGGACACAATACCTTTGTTTATTTTTATGTGGTGCTGAGGATCGAACCCAGAGCCTTGCACATGCTAAACCACTCAGCTCTACCACTGAGCCACAATCCCAGCCCCTAAAAATATTTTTTTAAAAAGCCCTGTTACGTGCACATATGAATGTCACACAAACCCCCACTATTATGTATGACTATAATGTACTAATAAAAAATTATAAAAAAGGTTCAATTTTAGGGAAATGCACTTCCTATACCTACTTGTGTGACACATACTTCTTTACTATCGAGCTTAGCGCTTCTCCAATTCTTGGTACGTGCAGTACTATTAATCTATATCCCCAGCCCAACATGATCCACCCCCCTACCCTACCCCAACACTGGGGATTGAACCCAGGGCCTTGCACATGTTAGGCAAGTGCTCTGCGTTGAGCCACTTCCTCAACTCTTTTTTGAGAAAGAGACTCGATAAATTGCTAAGCAAATTCAAATTCAAAGTCTGGCCTTGAATTTGTGATCCTTCTGCCTCAGCCTCCCAAGTAGCTGAGATTAGAGGCATGTACCACCACACCTGTCCACAAATTACTTTTTAACTTCACTTTCATTCCTTTTTACAGATAAAGAAACTGAGGAAGAGAGCAGTAAGTAACTTGATCAAGGCCACAGCTGGTAAGTTGGCAGAGATGGAACTGGAATGAAGTCTGTTTGGCACCAGTACTCCTTAAGACTCTTTGGAATGTAAAACTCTTCCTGCAAACACCAACCAACCAATCTAATCTTTTCTGTTTTATTCTTCCTCACCCTGCCCCCACCTCCTTTAAATTGTGACAGACTGAAGGGCTTCAGGAGTACAGTAGGAGTCAAAAGCAGATCCAGGAAAAATTTTCCTGTTAGGGTGGAAGCTACATGAGCAATCAAAAAAGCTAATTCAGGCCAGGTGTGGTAGGCATGCTTATAATCCCAGCAATTTGTGAGGCTGAGGCAGAAGAATTCCAAATTTGAGGCCAGTTGTAGCAACTTAGTGAGACCCCATCTCAAAATATAAAAAAGACCTGGGGATATAGCTCAGTGGTAGAACACCCCTGGGTTCAATTCTTGTTCCACAAAAGAAAAAAAAAAAAAAAAAAAAAAAAAACGAACGAAAAGAAAAGCTAATTCAGTAATTTCTTTTTTTAAATTTTCTTCTTTGAGACTTAGTTTTGCTATAGTGCCCAGGCTGGCCTTAGCCTCTTGAGTAGTAGGGATTATAGGCATGTGCTAGCATGCTTAGTTTTTTTTAAACCTGTAGATCACGGACCTCTTTGATAAATTAACGTAGTAATGCATCCTAGAAAAATGCACATACATTTCTGCCTATTACTTCAAAGGATTTATAAATAGAGAATTCTTCCAATCACATCAATGAATCAAGAGATTCATAGACCACATCTCCATACATATATACATCCTTTTTTTTTTTCCCCCCCAGTGGTGCTGGGGATTTAACTTAGGAACACTTCAATAGTAAGCTAAGCTACCTCCCAGCTATTTTTAAATTTTACTTTGAGACAGGGTTCTCACTAAATTACTAAGGCTGGCCCCAAACTTGTGCTCCTCTTGTCTCAGCCTCCAGAGTTACTGGGATTGTGGATACACCACTGAGCTGGCTACATTCTGTTAAGAGTACCTGAAAGATAAAACAGGTTCAGATTTGATAAGCTATCTATCTATCTATCACCCTCTTTGAATAGGGGTGATTCAACAGTAATAAAAGAGCTATTTTCTAAATTGGATTCTTCACTGTTCAAGAAAAGATTAAAGGGAATAAGTACCAAGGTACAGAAGAAGGTATGTTTTTCTTTTTCCTAGTACCTGAGAATCAAACCCAGAGCTTCAAGCATGCTAGGCAAACACTTAATCACTGAGCTACATCTTTAGCCATGGAATGTATGGTTCTGATTCAATAAAACAGTTGTATGCCCTTTCTTCCAAATTTCTAGAATCAGGAAGACAAACAGGAAAAAAACAATCCAACACTCTGATGCGCTTTTTTTTTTTTTTTTCCTTTTTTACTTACATTAAATACATCGGTAAATCAGCAGTCGCATTCTGTTACCACGATTGTTATGTTGGGAGAAGAAGAAAGGGAAAGAAAGACAAATGCTTTCTTTGAAGGAGGGGAAAAAAAAGAAAGAGAGAGACCCCCCTCCTCCCTAAAATGAACAAAATAAAACAAAACAAAAAAACTGATCAGAAGAAAGAAAATGAAGAGCTCGGAAATAAAAAACTAAGAGGCCCAAGCCCAATAGAGCTCAAAGGAGGGCAGAAGAACTGGTAGGAGTAGAAGAAGGCAGACAGGCCCAGAAGCTAAGGCCAATACTGTTCCTAAGGGGGTGAAGGAGGAGAGAAGCCTGGGGAAATGGTTTCCCAGCCCCAAGGCAATGAAACATCTTCACTCCTATTCCATGAGGAAAACCATACAAAGAATTTCATTCTAAGAGACTTGGGGAGCCATTCTAGTTCTTCCACTTGCACTGGGTACTTGTAGGGAGTGGGGAGGCTAATGGTTTCTGAGAAGGAAAGGGAAATGTATGTTGTTTCAGGGCCTTGGGAACTAAGGCTGCCCCTGGAAAAGGAAGGGAATTGAGGCCTAAGTGGAAGAATCTAAGCTGGGTCCTACAGATTCTCAGCTTCCTGGTTTCTCAGCTGGCCTGGGACACTCGTGGCTTTTCCTGTGTTTTTTTCCCCCAAATTTCTCCAAAACTCTAGGCCAGAACAAGAAAGAACTTAGAGTTCTCCCTTGCCTTGATGGCTTCCCACAGACATCTAAAACACCTGATGAGGGATGTGAAGAGACATTAGAGTTTAGAAAAGACCAAGGTCCTCTGATGATGTGAGACAGCTGTGAGGCACATTCAGTGCTAGTCACTTCCTGTCCGTAGGAACAGGTGGTATGACATGAAGGGACCATAACCAGGCCTCTGTGGTACTAGCCCCTAGTGGTATGTGGATTAAACTATTGGTTGGGGAGGGTAGGTATGGAGATAAGGATGGAGGAACTAAACTCAAGATACTAACAAAGGAGAAAAGGAATAGATCCTGATGGGAGGCAGGGGATAGAACAGACGTGTATAGTGAGAATAAAGATTATACCTATTTACAAGGAAGTAGAAAAGACATGGTAATGGATAGCAAATTGAATGTGAACCCTGGGAAAGGATATAAATCTACTCCCTTTTTTCTGACCTCTCTTACTCCCCTACTTTGGCCTATGCTACTCTGAGGCCACTCCCCAACTGCTCAGTTAATTCTCCAGGAAAGGCAAACCTATACTCACGAACTAGGTTGGCAAGAATATAGGTTAAGAATCAAGAGTTGGAGGAAGCCAGCAGTGGAGACTGGGCTTGAGTAGCTGCCACTGGTTCTGTTCTCTAAAGCCCCTCCCCAAACCTCATATACTTCAGATTCCATTTACTTAAAAAGGAGGGAGGGCAGGTAAATCAATCAAAACTCCCATAAAACAAGTATCCCGACTGAACTACCATTAATTAAAGTGCAAACTGCAGGGGGATATGGTGGCTAGGGCTGAGGCCATCTAAAGGCCAGAGGAATGGGGGAAAATGCATATGTATAAATCAGAGGATAGGTGTCAGAAACTCCTCCAATTAGATCACAGCAGAGCCAAAGATGCAGGCAACCAGTGAAGATTCTTTGGAGGACTCTAGGGTCTAGTCCCCACTCTAGGGGAGAAGCTACCTAATAGGCTGGGTGTGAGGAAACTGGGCCTTGGAAGAGTTCCAGAGCCACATCACCTCCACTTTGTCCAATTAGCTAACAATATGACTCCCACATGGTGCCTGAGAGCTTGCCTCTCTATTCTCACCTCTATCTAGGAACACCCTCCACAGGGCCAACTAATGTATGCTGATATGTTTTCAAACACGAGAAACTCCAACCATAAAAGCAAAAAGGAAATGTTTCCTTACTCCCTCTTGCTCTGAGCTTTTACTCTTCCCCAGGGCCATTAATATGACTAAACTAGAAATCTCCCTCCAGTTCATGGATTCACTACCTTCTCCATCCTGGGGAGAGGAAGAAAAGAGGATGAAAAACAGGGACTGATCAAAAGTGGAAGGGAGAAGGAGACAAAAATGTTTTCTGCAAATATGGGAAAGAACAAGGGGGAGGAGGAGGAAAGATCAGATCACTGTCTTGCACCTATAATACAAAGTGAAGAAAGTTTGTTTTGGAAGTTAAGTCCTGGGGAGATTTGACCCCTAAACCCCAGAGTAGGGGGTAGGAGGCCAGTGGCAACAGCTGCCTGGTGTTGGTTGCTGAAGCGTTAAAAAGTGCCATGACGGAGCTGTCAGGAGGCAGCCCTTGGGAGCCAGGGCTCAGTGTGCTGTTACCGTAGGGGCTGTGTGCTGAGGGGTGGGGATGGAGGTTATTTCTTAGCTCTCGTGCTAGCTCCATACTCGTTTGCTGCTAGCCACCCCTCAGTTGCTACAACACTGGCTCTTGTTCTGCTGGGAAGGCTCATGGAGATCCACACCCCGACTTCGGCCTGCTGTACCTCCCAGATTCTGGGGTTCGCTCTTTGGCAACTTCTTAGCTAAAGAAAAAAAGAGAAGGGAACAAAGTAGATTTTATTTACCCCATTCACACATACAAACAAACACAGGCTATTGGGTACAGGAAAAATAGAGGGAAAAGAGAGATTAAAAGAAATGTCCTGAAGAGGGGAGAGTTCACTATTTGCAAAGTACATTGAACACAAGGGAGCTAAAGCTGCAGTCAAAAGATGGAGATTACAACAGAAAGTTAAAGTATTTTTTAAGTTTTTTCATTTTATTCTTCTGTGATGCTGGGGATCAAACAGGTCCTCGTGCTCCTAGGCAAGCACTTTACCACTAAGCTACACCTCCAGTCCCATACCTAAAGTTTTTACAAAAGCAGACATTTCCACCTATTCTTGATTTGGGTCAGTGATGATTTTTACCTATAGACAAAGGAAAGATAGGAAAACCTCAGGGTGGTCTGACTTTACCTATTGCCAGGAAGAGATCATTCACGTTCATAGCTGTCTTGGCTGAAGTCTCCATAAACAATAAGCTGTTGTCATCTGCATATGCTTGGGCCTCCTGGAAGGATGAGTGATTGGTGTTCAGAATGCAGAGAGGAAATAAGTATTGCTTTTTTCTTTTTTTGTGGGGGGTACTGAGGATTTAACCTGGGGTGTTCTATCACTGAGCTATATCCTCAGTCCTTTTTATTTTGAGACAGGGTCTTGCTAAGTTGTCTATGTTGGCCTTGAATTTGTGGTCCTCCTGCCTCAGCTTCCCTAGTCACTGGGATTATAGGAGTGGGTCATTGCACTTGCTAAGTATTGCTTTTTTTACTCACATGTAGCACCAGAATTAGGCAGTGTCCCTCCCTTAATTAATGCCCCGTTCTGCCAGGTGGCCCTAGACTCATAATTTAGTGATGACTCCCTTAAGATAAACCCATGACCACTCAGTTGAACAAACAGATGTCAGGATCTTAATTATAGAGAAGCAAGTAAGATGGTGGGGGCTTTGGATTCTGACACTTGAATAATCCCCTTACCTCAAATTTAATTGCTCCCTCCTTCCTGTTTTCACATTGATACCCAACAGCTGGTACTTCTCTATCCCTCTGATATTTCCTTCTGAATCCTCTAAAAATCACTTGGCTGTAATTAGGGTCACAATGTTGGTGTATTTTTATTTTTTATATTTTGGGTAGGGGGAGAGGAAATGCTAATATTGATTTTATT